TTTTATGTAAAACTACAAACAAGAAAAAATATGTATGAACATTATGTTCACATTTACATACACATCCAGCTTAACATTACAGTTCGATTTTGTACATAGTTCCTTTTTTAACGTTATTTAAAGTAATGTACATGTCAAGAAATCATATTCAAATGAGATTATGTACAAACAGAAGATAAATTAGCAATACGCTAAAACAAAGTACGCTACCAATAACGCGAATCATGTCTGTTTATAACAAAATATAAGAATAATCCCGATCTACACTTTACTTTAATAAAATGTAGCACTTACAGACATATATTTCCAAGATTTAAACGATGGAATCAATAACCCATAGGAACTGCATGCACGTTCTTCTTGACTGCGTTCCCTGAGAGAAACCGAAAGTAAATGGCAAAATAAAGTGTAGTACCTTAAATGTCCTGTAGGAGGCGGAAAAGAAACAGAACATAAGAAACAGCACAAATACTCTTTATTAATTATTATTTTTAAATTATACTGTATACAGTAGTAAGTCATAAAAAAACTTAAACAGGTTCAATATAGTTAGAAGTTTTGTTAGCAGCATTTAATATCTATAATTTAATAACATTTAATATCTGTAATTGCTAGATAATAATAGTTTTGAAGCTTTTCTAAAATTAATAAACACTAGGATTTTATTTTTATGGTCTCATTCAGAATCATTAAATGTGACCCTGGACCACAAAACCAGTCATAAGGGTCAATTTTGTGAAACTGAGATTTTTACATCATCTGAAAGCTGAATAAATAAGCTTTCCATTGATGTATGGTTTGTTAGGATAGGACAATATTTGGCCGAGATACAACTACTTGAAAATCTGGAATCTGAGGGTGCAAAAAATCTAAATACTGAGAAAATCGCCTTTAAAGTTGTCCAAATGAAGTTCTTAGCAATGCATATTACTAATCAAAAATTAAGTTTTGATATATTTACGGTAGGAAATTTACTAAATATCTTCATGGAACATGATCTTTACTTAAAATCCTTTTATGATTTTTGGCATAAAAAAAATATCAATAATTTTGACCCATACAATGTATTTTTGGCTATTGCAAATATAATACATTTTGTGGTCACAACAGTTACTCTAAAAAACACTTATCAGCCTCACCCAGTCTGTCGCAAATCATTTCAGTTTTGCAAGTATTTCCTTGTTTTTTAGTTGATGCGGAACAAATAAACTGGTTTATATTTCTGTAAAACGTCACAGTTAACAGTGACGTGAACCCTCACTATTGTTGGTGTTTGTCTGAACTTGTTCCATTCATTCCACCAGCTTTTATCTATTCATTCTTTAAAGACAAAAACTGACCCAGCCCTGATATGACAGCGTAATCACACTGCATGCTGGCTGACGACATTGCAAAAATTAGCAATGCCTACTAACATTTTTTTGTAGAGTGACAGTGTCTCAGCAAAATATCTTTGTAATTTATTTTAGTGACTCTTTATTTGAATTTATTGTTTGTAATATGATCCCATTAATGGATTAGCTAACAATAATCAATATAATTTGTTAAAAAAATCGTTACAATAAAAATAGAACTGTTCATTTTTTAGTTCATATATATATATATATAAATTTACTAAATATCTTCATGGAACATGATCTTTACTTAAAATCCTTTTATGATTTTTGGCATAAAAAAAATATCAATAATTTTGACCCATACAATGTATTTTTGGCTATTGCTACAAATATACCTCAGCGACTTAAGACTGGTTTTGTGGTCCAGGGTCACAAATAATAGTAACGTCCTAAGGTTTGGTTTGTAATACAGGAGTTGTGCATAACAAATGTTACCAAGTTAAAGTAAAACATTGTAATTACGTGTTTCTTTCATGTTTGATGACAGAGGACTTGCTGTTGGTTGAAGGAATGACTGTGAATAACAAAGAACAGGTGAACGCTATTCATCTCATCAACGCTGCTCGCCTTGGCAACTCCAAAGCTGAGAGCATACTCCACACAGGTAAGATGCATATTCAAGTACATACATTATTCTCAAGCAGGTTTGTGATGAAGAAAAGCACTGATAGTCTCTCTACTCTTCCCTAACAGCGGGAACTGCCCTGGGTTTGGGGATTGTGAACATCCTGCACATGATCAACCCGTCTCTGGTCATCCTGTCTGGTGTCCTGTCAGAGCACTATGAGAATCCAGTTCGTCAGGTGATCAGTCAGCGAGCTCTCCTCTCGGCGCAGGGGACCAAAGTCATGGTGTCTGAGCTGGAGGATCCTGCGCTGCTGGGTGCCGCCAGCATGGTACTGGACTACACCACCCGCCGCACTTACTGAAAGAGCTCGAAAACCAGGAACCAGTCATTTACAGACTCAAAGACCAAGGGCCAATCATGTGCTATGTCCTTGTTAGGATCATAGTGGCTTTTAAGCTTGACCTTAAAAACTTTTATTTGTCTAGTTTTTACTTTAGTCACATATAGGTGCTATATTATTTGGGATCAATTGCCTATTGTAAGGTGTGTAATTTTGAGGAATGGTTTAAGTATATGAAGGATGGTTTTATTTAATATTTGTACACTGAAACTAAGGGGTATTTGTTGCAGAGAGGCCGCTATAAAAAACTGCTGTGGTTTAATCACCAGTTCTGTCTGTTTTGCTTTCTGTTTGGATTTTTCATGGAGACAGTCACATTGTCCTTTGCACCTTACGCTGATCTGTTGCCAAGCCTTTATTGTGTTTTCAGCACCGTATGCTTAGGTTTATCGATTCACCCAGCCTGTATGAATGAATCAATAAACTGGACAAATGTTTGTCCAGTATGTCTACTCTAATTTAATATTTAATGTCACAGATATGTACATTAAAAATGATTAAACACAAAATGTACTTTTATTGCCAGTGAATTGATTTAATATGTTAGAGTCCTGCAATACACTTATAAACTTGAAATCTTAATATTGATATTTGCAGAATATTATGTGTGTGTGTATATATATATATATATATATATACTGTATGTATGTGTGTATACACACACACACACACACACACATTTACATGTATGTCTATAAATATATTTAAAATGCAAATAATATCCATTTTGTTCCTTTTTTTGTTTTTATACCCTTGTCCTTCTCAAATTATTGTTCTTAAAGGGGTCATATGATGTTGCTAAAAAGAACATTATTTTGTGTAACAACTTAACCACTGATTTCTAGTCGTGTCCTCTGTACTCGGGCTGGACTCCGCTTTGTCCATGGTGAAAGCCTATCCGGCAATCCACAGCGCAAAGTTGAAATATTTCCTCAGCGACCAGCACGGATCAGCTCTAGGAATGACAAAGCGGATATCGTCCTCTTTTGGATGGCCAAACAAAGTAGTTTCGCTTTCACAAGGAAACACACAGCGCCTTCACGACATGGCGGCGGCGTCAACAACAATACTACAGCAAGAATAAAAGTTACGCCTTCTTTCTTTGCGTGAACATTTGGGCGGCGTTATGCAAATCTTCCCACATAGTGACGTAGACATGTGGGGGCGTGTTAGAACGAGCCGTTTTAGGTAGGTGCGGCTGACTCTTAACTTTTATAAAGAATATCTCTTTGGATTTGAGACTTTAGTCTTTGCAACTTTACAGATCTTCTTTATGCACCAAGAGCTTGTAACACTCCAAAGAGAAAGGAAAAATTGAAATTGCATCATATGACCCCTTTAAACCAATTTGGATGTGGTTAGTCATCTGAACCACATGTGGCAAAATTCAGGAATTTATAGTTGGTTAAATCATTACTCTATATGTTAAAACATTATCTGTTTAACAAGAACCCCGTAAAGATAATGAATAATGAAAAGTTCAGTCTTTTATTGAAGATAACTTTTATTTTGAAACGCATGGGCGTGTGCGCAAATAAACCCGGAAGTTCTACGGGGTCATTCATCTCGGCGTTTGACGCGTGTAAAGCAGTGAGACAGACTCCCGTCCTGTTATTTCTGTAGCTTTTCTTGCTGTGTTTGTGCATTTGGTTTTAAAATGCCTCTTAAATTTGAGTTATGTCCCGGTCACATGATCGGAGGGAACAACCCGTGTTTCATTATTGCAGAAATCGGACAGAATCATCAGGGCGACATTGAAATCGCCAAGAAAATGATCAAGATGGCAAAGGTATGAGTTTATTTATGTTTATCAACATCGGTATTTGCTGTAGAATATCTTTTGACGCATAAACCACAACTGTACTCATAAAGACGTTTAATAAGATTACATGTGTTCATACACATTTTTATTATGTTATTAATAGATACAGGTGCTATAAACTTTTAGATTATTTTTGTACTGATTTTGTGTTTTCTGAAAGAAAGCAATGAGTACATACTGTACATTCCATTCATGATGGAATTATTTATTACAAATTGAAATTGTTATAATAATATAACAAAATGTCTTCATACATAGTATATTATATGACTGTTTTTATAAGACTATTTACTCATTTTTTTCTGTCGTCATTACATATAAGGTTTCGTTATTTTACATTGTTTCTGATATTTATTATTGTATGCAACTGTTGCTCCTTTGCTAGGACTGCGGGGCAGACTGTGCGAAGTTTCAGAAGAGTGAGCTGGAGTTTAAGTTCAATAAGAAAGCCCTGGAGCGGCCGTACACCTCCAAACACTCCTGGGGAAAAACATACGGAGAGCACAAGCGCCATCTAGAGTTCAGCCACGAGCAGTACAGAGAGCTGCAGCAGTACGCTAAAGAAGTGGGGATCTTCTTCACTGCGTCCGGAATGGACGAGGTGAGCGGGTTACAGACGCAGAACGCATGCGCAGATTGTTAGACTACTATCTTGTTTTTTTATTTTATTTTTTATACGATCTTTTGGCTTCAGACTTACTGGTAACAAGGTAAGATGTCAGGGAGCCTGCTGATCACATCAAATACCCAGAAGTCTTGTGTATTGTTATATTTCTCTTAGTCATCTACCTCTAGCAGTCCCACGGTACAGTGATGGCATAGGATACTTTGGTATCTGGTGGTACTTTGATGTGTTCCATGGCACTAAATTATTACTGTATTTAAATACCGTACTACAGCATTTACATGATACTTAATGTAAAGTGTGTTAATTGTAGTGTTTCTGTCTTGTGTTTTTAAGATGGCTGTAGAATTCCTGCATGAGCTCAATGTGCCTTTTTTCAAAGTTGGATCTGGAGACACCAACAACTTTCCCTACCTCAAAAAAACTGCCCAAAAAGGTCCCTTTTGTGTGTGTGTGTGTGTGTGTGTGTTTTTTATTTTATTTTTTTATAATTATTTTTAATGATATCATCGCAAACAATCAGTAAGATATTGTAACATTTAAAAAATGCTAATTGTCTTAAAGATGTTTACTAATGTCAAATAAATCAAAAAATATACACACACATGCACACACACACACACTACTGTTCAAAGGTTGAACAAAATTTATTAATACTTTTATTCAGCAAAGATGCATTAAATTGAGCAAAAGTGACATTTATAATATTAAAAAGATTTCTATTTCATATACATTTTCTATTTGTCAAAAAAAAAAATTTAAGCATTACAATATAAAATATATTAAAGTAGAAAACGGTTATTTTAAATTGTAATCATTTTTCACCATATAACTGTTTATACTATTTTTTTTTACTACATCAAAACATGCAACCCTGATAAGCATAGGTTATAAATGTTATTAATTCAAATATATATTCTTAATACAGGTGCATCTCAATAAATTAGAATGTCGTGGAAAAGTTTACAAAACAAATTTAACTTCTGATGCTTGTCTGTGTGTGTTCAGGACGTCCCATGGTAGTATCCAGTGGGATGCAGTCCATGGAGACCATGCGTCGTGTTTATGAAACTGTGAAGGAACACAACCAAAACTTCTGCATCCTGCAGTGCACAAGTGCATATCCACTGGAACCTGAGGACGTCAACCTGCGGGTTATCATGGTAAAGAAACCAGCTCTTTTCACACTCATAAAGCCATTTGATATATTTCAAGTACAGCACATGTGTATCAAAATCAGAATCACTATGGTCGTCACTTTTACGTTTTCTTATATAATTATATGGTTAGCTAAATAATTAAATAATTTATTATTATGATTAGATACATGAATATCACAAAGTCACCATAAAGTAAAATTATGTATAATTTTGTACATGCTTCCCCTTCCAACCTATAGGAATATCAAAAAGAATTTCCAGACATTCCCATTGGTTACTCAGGCCATGAAAGTGGGATCAGCATCACAGTTGGGGCAGTTGCACTGGGAGCAAAGGTCGTGGAGCGCCACGTGACCTTGGACAAGACCTGGAAAGGCAGTGATCATGCGGCGTCTCTGGTGCCTGCAGAGCTGGCTGAGCTGGTGCGATCGATCCGCATTGTGGAGAAAGCTTTGGGCACTGGGGTGAAACGCATGCTGCCCTGTGAGGTGCCATGCCATGATAAGGTACAAGAAGAACTACATACTGAAATACTTTCCTTTTCATTTTATGTTCACGTAATGAGTGGTGTTAAGAGACGAGCAACACTATTACTATTGCTCATACTAAGGGTTGGGGATTTTTCCCTAAGTACTAACTCTAAAAATTGTGCTAAATCTGTGTTATTTTAATATGATTTATATTCTGTTATAGTATTTTATTTTTTATATTTAAGTTTTGTTTATATACTATTTACTTTTTAATTATATTTTCAGTTTTCATTTGACATTTTTAGTAATTTTGTTATGTGCTTTTGTCATTTTTATTAAATATTTCTATTTGGCTTTAGTTTATTTTTAATTTAATTGAATTAAGTTTTTTTTAGGTTTAAGAGTTTCATCTAATATTTATTTCACTTGATTTATGCTTTATTTCAATTAATTTAATAGTTTTAGTAAACAATAACTACCGTGTGCTACAAACCTGAATGATACCTGAAATCATGCAGCTTTTTGAGGAAAGGTGTTACAGCACTTTGTGTCCACTGTATTATTATTTTTCACTTTCATTTTTACCTTCTACTTCAAGCCCATCTGTTTTACAGCACCATTCTCTTTCAATCTTACTGTATGTTGCATTCCTTCCACTGCATTCCTGTTCTTGTCCCGTTTCCTTCCAAAACATCCTGTCTTAACTTTTTTCTTTTTTTATCTTCACATTTATCCATTGGCTACCCATTATTGCTGCTCCTTCCTTCCTTAACTTTGTTTTTTTTTTGTTTTTTTTGATGTCAGTGGGTTGTTTTGTTTTGAACAGCACAACCACATTGTCTTCAAGTCATCAACTCTGTCAAAACATTCCTATAATTCTTCTCCATCTTTCACTCCTCTGTAGCTTGGGAAGTCTGTGGTGGCAAAGACAGCCATCCCGAAAGGTACAGAACTAACCCTGGACATGCTGTCTGTGAAAGTAGCAGAACCCAAGGGTATAGCTCCGGAAGACATCTTCCAGCTGGTGGGGAAGAAAGTGACAATAGATATCGAGGAGGATGAGAGCATCACTGAGGATGCAGTCGACAACTACGGCAAAAAAGCCAAAGCTTGAGGAAAACCGTCTCCGCAGCCTGTCAGTCTTCATCAGACTGGAACGAAATTGACATGTTTTAGCCAAAATTAAATGCATTATTCTAGAACCACGGTTAAAATTGTTAGGCAGACAAATACAAATGCAATAATAGAACAAATGCTGTATATACCGTAAGACCCAATTCATTTTGTTTATATGGGTTATAATTTGCCAAATACTGTTTAATAAATAATGGAACTAAAAACAATGGAAGTCTGTCTCATTTTGAAGATGAATTAATGAAATCCAAAATGTGTAGGATTTTATTAATATGCATAAATAAATGAAGGTATTTGTTTGTTTGTGGGC